GTGTGCAATGCTGCCCTTCTCCTATGCACATCCCTTTAGATCCCTCAAGGTCTTCCTTACAGGCCAGCTCTTTCATGACAGGAAGCTTTCCCAGCCTTTTCAGTGGGTCACCCTCTCCCTTCTCAAAGCACTGGAACCATGCTTCTTACCCAGCATGTATCCTCCATTTCTATATTAGAGGTTTCTAGATATATTCTGCATTGGTTAGAAGAGGAAGCTCTTGCTCAGACTGGCTTAGTTTGAACCCATAATCAGCTTTGTGATTTAAGCCAAGTCAATTAACCCTTCATTTTTTTTAATGAAACAGTGAAAGTATAATTTATGAGTGTTGATTGGACAAATGAATGATATGTCTTGCATATTGATGCTAATATTAAAGTAAAGGCTCCCTGAAGATAGAATCTGGGTCTAGTTTTATTTATATCCACAACTCCGGTGGCTGCTCAGTGTCTTAAGCACAGAATGAACTCAGTAAACATGTTCTGGGAATGAATGACTTACTCAAACTAGTCTGATCAATCTAACATCAAGAGTTTACCAAAGCAGGTGGCTCATGCCTATAATCCTAGTTACTCAGGAGGCTAAGATCTGAGGATCATGGTTTGAAGCCAGCCTGGGCAGGAAAGTCCTTGAGACTCTTCTATAATTAATGAGAGAGAGAGAGAGAGACAGAGAGAGAGACAGAGACAGACAGAGACAGAGAAAGACAGAGACAGAGACAGAGAGAGAGACAGAGAACACTTAAGTGGAGTTGTGGCTCAAGTAGTAGAGTGCCTTGAGCACAAAACTCAGGGACAGCACCCAAGCCCTGAGTTCAAGCTCCAGGACAGGGAGGCACTTCACTTAGGTTGCCATTTACTAGCTGTATGAAATAGGTATTTTTAAAACCCATTTTAGAGGAAGAAAACTAAGATACACAAGAGGTTAAGTCGTGACAAGATTACACCGAATCAAAATATGAGCTCAAGTTTGCTGGTCCTCAAATGCACACTTTTTTTTCCTGTGTGTATGCTAATACTGGGGTGTGAACTCAGGGCCTTATGCTCTCATTTGGTCTTTTCATTCAAGGCTGGTGCTCTACCACTTGAGCTACACCTTCACTTTCAGCTTTTTGTTGGCTAATTGGAGATTAGAATTTCATGAACCTTTCTGCTCAGGCTGGCTTGGAACCATGACCCTCAGATGGGATTACAGGCACTATCCATCACATTTTTCTAAATGATCTTAGTCCTGAAATCCTTGATTCCAACTAGGAAGGGAGACTAAATCCTTTGGAAGAAAAATCTTTTTTCTCCTGCCTCCAGAAATTTGCAACTTTTCCCTAAAAATTGAAAGCTGTAGCTACTGTAACTTCTTTTCTTCTCACTTTGCATTTAGGACCTAGTTTTTTGCCTGAGTGCCAGGTCTTCCTGAATTTCGTACCTACTAGAAACTGGAGAATTATTATATTTTTATAGTTAGGACCTTAGCAGGACCTAAGAGAAGTTGCTTCTCCAGGCTCAGCCAGGATGGATATTCCAGAAGGCAGTCTTCTCCAACCTCCCCATCCCCCAGGAAGACTTCCAGGATGAACTTCATAAACCCTGATCACTCAGTCTTTATGCATTCTGTTGGTTCTACATTGTCCTGAACTCATAATGAATGCCTTGTGAACAACTTACATCTGCTTCTCCAGTATGTCTGTGTCTACCCCCATTGGTTGGAAGCCCACAAGGGAGAGGTGTGTAAGGAACAGCTGGTCCCAAGGCCTGTGTTCAGGCAGGGCCTCACTTTGGTGGCTGGATGGAAAAGAGATGTGCACTCCCTGCTGAGTCCTTCTAGCCCAATTCCCTATTTTTAATGAAGAAGTGTGTCAGCTGCTGCTCCTTCTCTAGCCACTTTTTACCCATGAAACCTGACTCCTGCTCCCTCTGCAGGCTGGGAGACCAGACCAGCACTCCAGCCATCAGCTTAATTAAGCCAGGATCCCCAAACCCTAGCCTTTCTCCAGTGCTCCCTTGTTACGATGCAAATTTTCTGCTTCAGGAAGTCAGAAAACTCTTGCTACTTTTGATTTCCAGGAACAGGCTCTTCTTGTCCTAATTTTCTGGGTCAACCTGAGAGCCAGGATGAAGAAGGAAACTACAGAGCACCCTGAAGAAAGATATTTTCACAACCTGTTAATGTTTGTTGCCATTTGCAGCAAGTCTGTCTTATAGTGTCTGCAGGATGGATACTTCTTGAAGGGGATTTAGTGAAATAAATGAATGTAGAACTTGACGGATGTTACACAAGACCATTCCCGGGCATAAACCAATTTAGGGCAGAACAAGGCAATATACCATCCTCCTGGGTGGAACTAAGGATCCTGTCAGAGATGACAGGCACCTCTCTCCTTCCCAGCTCATGACTGCATGTATTTCCCACCCTATTGAAACCCTGGGTATAAACATGTCAATTACTCCTTAATCCAGCCATTTCCAAGCTATTCTGAACTCAGTCCCTAAGGTCTGTGTGTATTAGTGTGCACACACATGCACGCAGGTACTGGCGATTGAACAGAAGACCTAGATATTGTCCCTTAGGTTTTTCACTAAAGGCTAGTGCTCTACCATTTGACCAACTCCTCCACTTCTGACTTTTTGGTGGTTAATTTGGAGATAAGCATTTCATAAACTTTCTTTCCTGGGCTGGTTACTCGCTGGGATCCTCATATCTCAGCCTCCTGAATAGCGAGGTCTACAGGCATGAGCCACCAGTGCCCAGCTTCATCAGTATAGTCTTTAAAAAAAAAATGACAGCCAAAGGACTGACCATGGACTAACTCAGGCATGGTTCCCCTTTACTTTCATTGGATACTAAGGTGTGGAGATTTGGTCCTACTATGTAGGCATTGGGCTGAGGTGTCAGAGAGGGAGAGAGACTCAGATAGCTCTGCCTGTCTCTCTGCTCTGTCTCCTCTCTGAGTAAGCTGGCATCGGGGAGGGGGTGGAGCACCAGGAGGAAGGGTGCTGAGCTCTCCATCTGAGTGCCATTCTGGGCCTGAGGCCAGGCATTTGGCTTCCTCTCCAAGAGAGTCAAAGGCTCAAGCTGCTCCCACAAAGGGCCAAATGAAAGCTGATGGGGAACTGGGTGACTTCAGCCTCTCCCCTTCCTCAAGACCTTTGGCAGGAGAGGGTGCAAATCAAGATTTAGAGCTCGGCTTGGAGCAGATTCCTATTTGCCTTTTTAATTCTCCTGGCATCCACAGCCTGTCTTCCTCCCCTCACCACCTCCAACCTAGGGTGCTGTAAAAAATGCAAATCAGTAGGATTTTTAAAATTCGAGCCCATGCCAGGAACACCCACAAACCCTCCATGAAGGCAGATCCTGATGTGGGTGGTGCAGTCCCCTATTCCAAGCACAAAGAGGAGGATTCTATTAGATTTCTTTCTCAGCATAGGCCTTGAACCTCAAACACTATCTGTGATGACCCTGACCTTTGGACACACGAATGGGAAAAATGAGAGTTATTTGTGGGGGCTGAGGTCACCATTATAAATTGGCATGAGAGGCACGTGAAAAACGAGTATAGGAAAGTTATCTGGGCCAGTAGCTTTGACATGTCAACACTGACAGGGCTTTTGGAGGAAGGAGGAAAAGAATTGATCATGAACCTGGGCAAGTAGACCATGGAGTTGGACAGTCAGGAAGAGTGTCAGGATGATTTGTTCCAGAAGTATCTAGGAGAACACCTGCCTCTCCAGGCTGATTCTCTCCTCCACCAGGCCCCTCTCCTGTCTCCTCAAGTTGGTCCCTAGCACACTGCCAGAATTCCCTCCCAAGCAGGAAGAGTGTAACCTCTGTAGACAGAAGTGGCGGAGGCTGTCGAGCAATCTGGAGAGCCACAAGCTGAAACTTCCTGGATCCAGGTCTGGTGTTGTGTGTTTGAGTGCCCCTAGCTCTGCGAAGAAGAAAGAAGGGGAGAGCAAAGGAAAATGGAAGAGGCCGCCTCCAGGAGAGACAACCTAAAAGAGACACCTAAAAGCAGAAGGCAAGAGTTCTGATTGACGAAGAGAAGCACAGAGCAGAGAAGGGGGAGGAGTAATATCTGAAATCTGGCTGAATTCATGTGGTTGAAGAAATGCTAAAGGTAGAAGATGAGGGCGGGGATGGGGGCGGGTGGAATATGAAATCAACCCACCTGGCCTACCTAATATAGCTTTAGCAGTCGCTAACTCTGCCATTTCACTTCGGTGATTCACTCTCCCACCTCGCCAAACTAAGCTACTTCGCCTCCCCAGCACCCCGGGCCTTCTCGCGCTCCCTGCGTACTCTCCCCAAGCCCAGACCTGACATCTGGCAGGGCCTCCGCAACTCCCTCTTGCGATCTGCCAGTCGGCACCCCGCCTCCCCCGTCATTACAGCTGCCAGCCCCCCTCCCTGCTGGCAGACAAGCCCAGGCAGACAGCCGGCCCAGCCTGCCCCCGCAGCCGCGCCAGCTCTGCCAAGCCGGGAGGGGGCCAGGGCGGAGCTAGCTGTCCTCCGAGGAGCGGCCGGTCCCCGGTGACCTCCGGCTCCAGGCAGGGATCTGTTCCGCGCACCCTACGGGCTCCATTTGCCCGCGCGCTCCAGAAGCCCAGCGCAATCCGAGCACCCCGGGACCCGCACCCACTGTCTGCGGCCTGTCATTCCCGCGCCTGCGGGGCCCTGGCGCCTGAGACTTATTTGCCTGTGTAGCTGTCCTTTCTGGCCTTTGCTCTCTTTTCTCCCCCCCCCCCCCCAGTTGCGCTGTCACACTTAGACGGCCTGTCTGTCACTTGTCCTGCTCTCATCCCAAATCGTTGCCCGAAGTTTCCGCAGGGTCCCTTCCTCTGAGCCGCAGGCCCTGCCTTCTGCCTGTCCGTTCGCGTCCTCTCCACCCCTTTCCGATCTTTCTGTGCCCGGCGCACGTCTTGGCTCTCTGGAGCCCAGGGTGGAGAGCAGATGCCCGTCGGGGCTCAGCAGTCCGCCCGGGCTCCCCGCGCCAGCTCGGCTCTTACCAGCTCCTGTTTGAGGCGACGCAAATAGCAGTCCATTTCTCTGCTGTCTTCTTTCTTCAAGCGCCCATTTGCAAGGCTCCGCTCTACCAGAACGTCCCCAGGTGGGAAAACCGACTTCACTGAAAAAATGCGCGCCCGGCGGGTTTCTAGCCGCTCCCGGAGCGCGCGAGTCCTGCCTTGGCGCCACCGCGGGACTCAGAGCCGCGGTCCCGGCTGCCGCGACGCGCGGCCCGTGCGGGGGCGGAGAGCAAAGTGCAACAGCCAATAAGAAGTCAGGGGGAAATGTCTTCAGCCAATGAGAAGAGCGGCCCTAGGGGCGCGGGCTCCACAGCCCTGGGTGGGCTGCAGGGGGCCAGCAACCAGTGTTTGCGGGAACCAGATACTACGGGGAGACTCCTGTGTCTGTGTTGGTAGGGGACCGCCCCCCCCCCCCCCAGTCCTGGTCAGCGCAGCGCGGAGCATCATGACCATAAGTTGTGCCAACACCCTCAATAAAATCAAGTGACCTATTTGGTTTTAAAGGCAAGCCCAGTTTTCTGGATGAGGACTGGGGTGGGGCGGGGGGGGAGGGGGGGAGGAAGGTTCTCAGATAGAAGTACCAGACCCGAATTCTTCCCCAAATTCTGATCAGAGACATCCCTCCCTCCTCCCAGAAGTACCTCGGAAGCTCTTTTCTTTCAGAAGGGGGTCTCAAAGTGTGATTCCTAGTGTGTGTGTGTGTGTGTGTGTGTGTGTGTGTGTGTGTGTGTATCCGACAGTTCAGTTATTTAATAGCAAACAATAGAGGGTCTGCTGTATCGAGGATACAATATGACAAGCAAGGTCTCTGCTCTCAAGAATGTACCATGGGAGAAGGGGAGATAGGACAGACAAGTAAACATTTTTAAACTATTTTTATTAGCATACATTAGTTGCACAGGAGAGTTTCACCGCCCAGCGCCCAAGGGTCACTCTCGTCATCCTAGCTACTTAGGAGGCTGAGATCTGAGGATCGTGGTTCAAAGCCAGCCCAGACAGACAAATCCGAGAGACTCATCTAGCCAAAGCAAAAACAAACCCAAACAAAAACAAGAAGCAAAAGCAAGCCCCCCCCCCCAAAAAATAAAACCAAGCAGCACAACGCTGAAAGTGGTGATGTGGCTCCGATTTTAGAGTGCCAGCCTTAAGCGAAAAATCTAAGGGCGAGCACAAGGCCTTTCGCAGTACGGGGAGGGGGGACGGGGGAGGGAGAGGGAAAGAGAGAGAGGAGGAAGGAAGGGAGGGAGGGAGGGAGGGAGGGAGGGAGGGAGGGAAAGAAGGGGGGAAGGAAGGGAGGGAGGGGAAGATCAACTCATCCCTTCTAGCCCTCTCTTGCTACATCCCCCTTCTTAAAAAACAACTGTCATATATGCAAATAATCTACTTGGACCATGTCGGACAATGATCTTTAATGAAATGAGGTAACGGGAGGGGTGGCGACTGCTTTCCCGAGTTGGTCAGGGGGTGGAGAAACAGGCCAAGGCTCCCCAGAGCTAGGCTTTGTAACGGAGGAAGGGGGGGCTCGAGGATGCTCAGATTCTCCTCGCAGGGCACCGCCGAGGCGTCTGGGGGCTCCAGCCTGACCCCAGCGGGTGGGGGGGGGGGGCGCAGGCAGACCGGGTGCTTCTCCTGGCCAACTCCTCACCTGCCACACTACGGTTCTCCCCGGGGCCGAGACCGCACGCCACCGGCCTGGCCCGCCAGGGGGCTGGCCCGCCAGGGGCAGGGTGACCGGGCCCCAGAGCAATTAGGGCAATTAGCTACGTTTTGTTTCAAAGTAATTAACGGGCTGAAGTTTGCCCCCCCCCCCGACAGGATTCTAGAACTGTGCGTGGGACTGAACCCTCGGGAGGCCCCGGGAGCGGCCCGGGAAGCATGCAGGCTGGAAGCTCATTGGTTCTGGGTTAGCTCGCAGCACCTCTCCGTGGGGAGCGGACCGGGAGGAGGGGAGGCCGGCGGGCACGTCCCAGCTCGAAGCCCGCGTCTCTGCGGCCGCTCTCCCCGCCCTCCTTTCTCGGTGGCTGCTCAGCGTGCAGCGTCGATCCGTGGGGACCCGCAGGAGACGGGAGCCGCGAGCCTGCGCGCGTGGCCAGGGCCCTCTCGGAGAGCTGAGATCGCGTTTCCTTTTGCGGGACACGAGCCTGCGCCGCAGATCCCAGCAGCTTCCGCCTCGGGCTGCCTGGCGATCGGGAGGGAAAACTTCACAAAAGGTCCGTTTCCGTGGGACCTTCGGCGGCTTCCGCGTGGAAGTCACTCCGCCAAGGACAGACAGACGTTTCCAGCCCTGTGGAGCAACTCCCGGAGTTGAGCTACAATGGGATGGTCATTCATTCACACGCTGTTCACCAAGGGACCCTGTTGGATTTGTGCTTGAAATAGTCAAGTTTTGAACTCAGGGTCGTAGTCCTCCTCCTCCTCCTCCTCGTCCTCCTCCTCGTCCTCCTCCTCCTCCTCCTCCTCCTCCTCCCCCCCCTCCCCCCCTCCTCCTCCTCCTCCTCCTCCTCCTCCTCCCCCCCTCCCCCTCCTCCTCCCCCCCTCCTCCTCCCCCCCTCCTCCCCCCCTCCTCTTCGCCCTCTCCTCCCCCTCTCCTCCTCCTCCTCCCCTCCCCCTTTCTTCTTCTTTACAGTATTGGGTTTGAATTCAGAGATCATGTTAAGCAGGCTCTACCACTTGAGCCCTAAACCCAAGCACTTTTATTCCATTTTGGTAGGGTCTTTCAGGTTGGGTTTCAGTTTTGCTCTTGGTAGCTTCTGACCTTGATTCTCTCATCTCTGCCTCCCACTTCACTGGAGATTATACACATACACTACCATGCCTGACACAGATTCTTTCACTGGGCCCCAATTTCTCTTGTTTGTGGTTTGAATATATGTCAGTCTATATTTCATACTTCTTCCAAAATGCCCTTCTCTCTCTGTCTCCTCTTTGTCTTCCTCCTTCTCTTCCTTTTCTTCCTCTCTCTCTCTCTCTGTTATTGCTGTTACAGCAGGCAGTGCCTATAGTTCAGGTTGGCTTCGAACTTATGAACCTCTTCTTCAGCTTCCCTAACACTGGACAGGCACGTACCACTATGCCTAGCCAAAAAATTATCTTCTGGTGACCATCTGTGAAGTAGTAGTGACAGGAAAACATGTATCCCATCTTACAGATGAGGAATACATTGTTAGCAACAGCAGCTCACATTCCACCCACTTTTCTTTCCTTCTTTGAACTCAGGTTCTTCCCTTTGCTAGGCAGGGTCAGTACCACTTGAGCCACACCCCCAACCCCTCCATCCAACTCTAAGGTGGAGGAGATGGCAAGAAAGGACTGACAACTGTAATTTCAGTGCACAGCTCAATAGAGGAGTCCCAGACAAGTCAGAGGTACCTATATTACTGTGTTGTTCCCAATCTTAATGGTCAACTTGATTAGACTCAGAAATTCCTGGGAGAATAATGAAGCACACTTCTAGATTGTGTTTGAGGACATTTCCAGAAAGAATATATCAGGAGGGGCTGGGAAGGTAGCTCAGTGGTAGAGCACTTGTCTTGCATGCATGAGGCCCTGGGTTCCATTCCTTAGCACCACATAAGCAGGAAAAAAAAAGCTGGAAGTGGTGCTGTGGCTCAAGTGGTAGAGCGCTAGCCTTGAGCTGAGGAGCTGAGGGACAGCGCCCAGGCCCAGAGTTCAGGCCCACGATCGGAACCCCCCCCCCAAAAAAAAGAATATATCAGGAGGGCCCAAACCTAATGAATGAGTTGATCCCTTGATAGAGTCCTAATATGACTACATTAGTAGGAAGTGGTAAAGGTAAGAAATGGAATCTAGATGGAGGGCACAGGGCGGGGTGGGGGGGAGGCGGGAAATGGGGTGTGAGCACTCCACCCTGGGAACTATATTTTTTTCTGATTCCTTCCTATCATCTCTGCTCCCTTCCTATCATCTCTGCTTCCTGTCCAAAATGAGATGAAGAAACTTCTCTGCCATACTCTCTTGCTGCCATGATGTTCTCTGCCTCATAATGGGTCCACAAGCACAGAGCCAAGTGACCATGGACAAGTGACCAAATAAATAAATCCTCCCTTGGGTTCTTTGGTTAAGTATTTGGTCACAGCAATACAAAAGTAACTAATACAGAAGAAATCCTGCCATGATGATGGGCACTGCAAACCCTGAGAAAGCCAATGTCTTTCCAAGCGCATGCGTCCGTGTGTGTGTGTGTGTGTGTGTGTGTGTGTGAGAGAGAGAGAGAGAGAGAGAGAGAGAGAGAGAGAGCATATGTACACATGTGCATGCATGTTTCTGAGGCTGTACGTTTCTCATTTCTGAGGCTATATGTCTTTTTGGAGCAGTGAAGGAGACAAGGGTAGAGAAAGAGCTGCCGCTTGCTATTTCTTCTTCTTTTAAGGGTTTAAGTGACAGAGAATAAAACCTGTTGCCATGGTTATATAAACATGGGTAAATATTCCTGGCCTGAAGATGGGGATTGGATGGCATGATTCATTTTTGCTGAAGAGGACTCACATGGATCAGCCTCCCGCTCCCCTGAATCTCAGCCTCCAGGGGAATGAGATTATCTCATTTGACAATAAGAAATAATAATTTTTAAAAACCAGAGGTCTTGAGACTGGCAGTGAACACATTTCTCCAAGCCATCCAGAGCCGAAGACACCTGAGCCTTCCTTCTCCGCTAGTGGAGATACGTGGGTACTTTTCCCAAAAAAGGAGCAGTTGGGGCATGTCCAAGATTGTCAAACACTTGGGACTTGCATCCAGTCTAGTCAGAAGAGTAGCCCTCTTTGTCCCACTGCCAGAGCCTAAAGGTCTTGGCACCTATGGAGCAGCTCAAAGAAGAGGCAGAACCAATTATGTCCAAACAGAGCTCAGCTCTTGCACGAAACAATGGAAACCCTGCCATTCTCTTGGCTTTTGCTTCTATAGCTTCTACCTGGAGTCCCCACCCATCATCTCCTGGCCAGCCCTGAGTCAGGTGGGAACCCAACTTCCCATCTCCCCTAATGACAGAAGAGCTGGGAGATGCATGGCTCCACACATTGTAGAAAATGCAGCATAATAATTAGCAACCACCCAAGGGTGAGGTCCAGGTCCCCATTGCCCTCATTCCTCACCTCCTGTGACTGCCAAAGACCATTATCCTCATCCTCTTGTCCC